GCCCCCGCGCTCCGGAGCCGCGCGGGGCGAGGGCCGCAGCCGCTGCGCCGGGCGGAGCGGGCGTGGACGGGGGCGTTGCCCCGGGGCTAGGGTCTCGGAGAGGATGGGGTCCTGCTCTTGGCCGCGGACCCTCCCGACCACCCAGCCGCGGCCGGCTTCGGCTTCCAGCAGTGGAACAAGTTTTCCCCGTCCGCCGGAGCCGAGCGAGGCTTCCGCGGCCTCCGCCAGGGGCACGCGGAGGAAACCTCGTCCCGGTGAGAAGTTTCCTTGCGTCCTGCCGTCTTTATCCGCCTCCCAGACTGGGGCTGGAGGCCTTGCTATTCCTTGTCGTGAGGGAAAGAGGCCAGAGCCGCAGCCCTCAGAGGCGGGGTGTTGGGGTGGCATCCTGTCCCAGCCCCCCCCCAGGGGGGCTCTGGTTGCAGGGGCGCCTGGCAGAGATTTCTGCGACTCTCAATACTCGCCCCCCCTTTGGGTCCTCTTTCTTGCTGGGGTAGGGGGGGCACCGAGGTTAGAGAGGAGGCGAGAGACAGCTGGAATCACTGCAGGCCTTCCTCGGAGGCTGCCCGTGGGGGGCCGGGGATTAGGCGTTTGCTTCGCTGCTGCCTGGAAGCCTGAAGCCGCCTTGTCCTCATGCCCCGTGTCTCTCTCTCCCAGCCTGTGTGCTTAGCCCAGGTCCCTATGCCCACCCCCCCATGGGGCAGAAGAGGGCAGGCTTGGAGATGGTACTGGGGTGGGGGAACATTTTTGCTTAGGCTTCAAGAGTACCTGTGAACGTCCCCCTAAAGCAGTGTGCCTGGGTGGGGGTGGAGGTGGCAGTGGCGGTGAGGACCCAGCCTGCAGTTGCTGGTTTTAGTTCTGGGCTGGATGTGGTGGGGCCCACCTGCAGGTGGGGTGGGGGGGGCAGAGAGGGCACACGTGCCCTTTTCACCTCAACCGGGTGGCTGCCATCCTCTCTTCTCTTCCTTTCTTGCCCGTCCCCGTGAAATTATATTTGAAGACCCAGGTGGAATCTCAACAGCCACTGAATCTGCCCTCCTTGTACAAATGGGGAAACTGAGGGAGGCCCGGGCCCTTGCCAGCGAGGGCCGTCTGCCCAGAGAGGGTCAGACCCGAGCATTTGTTTCTTGGGCCGCCAGGGCCCTGCCTTGCGGTTGGTTTCATGGCGGATTTTCCAGGGAAGCAGGCAAGGCTGGGCAGGGGCCTGGGTGGGGTGGCAGTGTGCTGGGCTGCGGTGCTGTGGATGGGAAGAGGGCCTGGGTGTGCCAGGAGCCTGGGAAGTCCTTGGCTTCGGTTCTGCGGAGGCCAGGGCTGCCCTCTGAGGCTTCCCTTTCTTTCTTTCATGTCTTCTCTGGAGGCCCCACCTCCCCCTTTCTTTGGGCATGAACTTTTCTTGGTTAAAGAGGGAGGGGGGAGCAGGAGGTGACCATGGGGTGGGTGGTGGGCCTACTTTTGTGGAAGAAGCCATAAAACAATGCAGACCCACAGGGATGGCCTTTAGGATGGAAGTTGAAAGGCAAAGAAGGAGGTTTTTTTCCCCCAGGAGTGGGAAGTTGAGGGGCAGAGGGCTCAGCCCAAGCCTCTTTGTGACGCCATCTGAGGCAGTTAAGGGGCTCCCAGGCTCCCACCTCTTCCAGGGAAGCAGGAGCCTCTGTCCCTGGAAGAACCTGGGGAAAAAGCCACACCCCTGTCAGGGTGGAGGGACCCAGGGCTGGGCGCCTCCTGTTCCTGGTGGTTGGTTCAAGGGAATTTCCCGGGGAGGGGGCTGTGGCTGGAAGCCCCCGGGGAGGCTCCTTCCTGCGTGAGGGCTTCTTTTCTTCTCAGACTGAGCCCTGTGCTACTTCGAGAGCCAGGCCCGGGCTGGAAGGGGAGGGCAGTCCATTCCATGCCAGGTTAACCCTTCAGAGCCTGGGGGCCATGAGCCCCTCCCTCAGGGGCACAGCCCTCAGATTCCTGTCCATCTGTGACTGGGTGGGGGGTGGGGGGGGTAGCAGGCAGCACTGTGAGGAACACTCACCTTTGTCCTCCCACCCACCCACCAGAAGCCAGGAGCTTCCAGATTCCTTCCTGTGTAGCTGGAACATTCCATTTGCTAGTGGGGTTAGTGTGTTTTCCAAGCCCGGGCCCTGGGCATGTCTGAACAAATCTCTGCCCCTGCCCACCTCTCCACCCCCAGTCACCCTCCCCTAGCCCCACAGCTCCTGCCATGGGGCTGGTGCCACATCGGATTTCCTCTTCCCTGTCTGGGCTGCCGGACCCTTCCTAGAGAGATCTGGCCCAGGTCAGCCGTCGAGTGGCAGTGCCTCACACCCAGGCCTGGGGGCCTTCAGCCTGTGGAGGGGGGCCCGTTAACTTCAGGAAGGGTTTCTTTTTTTTGTTTTTTTTTTTGAGTTGGAGTCTCACTCTGTCGCCCAGACTGGAGTACAGTGGCCGCTCCCGGCCACCGCAGCCTCGACCTGCTGGGCTCCGGTGATCCTTCCGCCTCAGCCTTCCGCGTAGCTGGAACTATAGGCACGCGCCTGGCTAATTTTTGATTTATTGTAGAAATGAGGTCTCGCCAAGTTGCCGGAGAGGATCTCGAACCCGCGGGCTCAGGCAATCCACTCACCTTGGCCTCCCAAGGCGCTGGGATTACAGGCTGAGCCTCCGAGTCTGGCTGGAAGGAGTTTCTAAGACTACCCTGAGAGCTTACCTCCCATCTCCCTAAACCAGGCCTTCTCTGCTCCCAGCCTGCCTGGAACCCTGAGAGCCCTCCTTCCCCTGCCCTGGCCATGAGAAGGGCTGCTTCTTGAGGCCAGGTTCCTCGTGCTCAAAGGCCCAAAGGATACTTAGGCCCTTGAGCCAAGCTTCTTCTCCCTTCACCGTAGGGCTTTACCCTCTGAATCCCAAGACCTCGCATGGGTTCTATGCCACAGTTTTCCCAATCTCTTTACCCTCCGGGGAGGGTGGCACTTTTTGGCAGCTACCTGGTCTATACTTGGACATGGAGGAGGGGCCGTACCTGGGGTCAAGGGTCTTGGGTCTTGACTGCGGCAGAGAACCGCAGAGAACTGAACCTGGCTGAGAACCTGGAGTGGGTTGTTGGGAGGTGCCCGAGGGCAGGACTAGGCTTAGGGAAGCCCCTGGCTGGTGCCCTTCTGCCAGGCTCCAGATACCTTTCTGGGGACAGCACAGTCCTGGCATCTGGTCCTTCTGGGTCTGGAAAGTCCTCTGCAAGGGCTTCCATCCCTGGTCTCCCAGGATCCCCTGACACCTCAGCAGGGCCGTGGCCAGGCTGTGAGGGGCAGGGGCAGTGGGAGTGACTTTCCCAGGGAGGGGACCTCGCCAGCTGTGTGTATCTTTGGGCCCCTCCTCGGGGCCCCTATGGGTTCAGGGTTTTATCCCGCCTGCTCTGTGGCTTTTGTGGTGAGAAGATCGGTTTCCAGACACCCCCTCCCCCCTGCCCCCTGGAGCTGTTCCCACCTGTTAGCAGCACTCTCTTCTTAGAGTGTCCCGAGACACGTGTGTACATACATGTTCACATGTGTATGCGACGTGGCCTGAGTGGGGCTGACACGCTTCATGCTGGGGGACTGTGGCAGAAGCGGACACTGGTGTCCCCAAGGCCCACGTGCCTGTGAAGTGCTGCCGCGCGGCCTTGCTCAAGGAAGCAGACGGGCGGTGTGGCGTTACCTAATACCCCCTCACCCCAGCTTTCTGCCCAGCTGCTGTTCTCACGCTGAGCTGATCTCTGTGGCCTGCCCTGCCCAGCTGGGGGCTGACTGAAGGGGGCAGCGTGGCGGGAGCCTGGCCTGGGAGACGGGAGGCCCAGTCCTGACCCCAATGTGCTGCATGGCTTTGACTGTGTCCCGTTCCTTCTCTGGGCCTCTGTTGCCCCGTTTGTTGAAGGATGGGTTTCTTGGTTATGGTGACCCTGTGTAATGAGGTCTCTCTCTGAGAGCCGAGGAGGCCCTCAAGGCCTCTTGGGGGTCCTGGAGGGACTCCCACCTTTTCTGCCACCATGTGACTCCCGGACATCCCCAGGCTCACCCTTCTCTCTTGTCTCTCTTCCAGTTGTGCTGTTGGACTTTGCTGCGGCGAAAGGAGAGCTCGGCTGGCTCACACACCCTTATGGCAAAGGGGTACGTAGGCCTTTAGGGTAGGAGGTATGGGGGCTGGCATGCTGGGTAGACGGAGACATGGCAGCTCCAGGGAGCACGGGGCCGGGCTTCCACCTGATGGCTCAGCCAGGGTTCAAGCTCGGGTCTTGCTTCTCACACCAGGCCCAGACCAGGGCTGGCTGGGGGTGGCTAGGAAGGGGAGGACTTGGCAGGTGGAGGGAGCCGGGGAGACAGCAGAAGGCCCTGGCAGAGCGGGCCTCTTCGTGCCCCAGAAGGGCCGATGGTTGGGGGGACCTTCTGGCACCCTCCATGTGGCTCATGGGGGGGAAGGGGTTAAAGGGTCCCCGTGTCTTGTGGTCTTCGGAGGTGAGGGGTGAGGGAGAGGCAGGGAACTGGGAAATCTGACCGAGTTCCTTCCTGCTAGGCCCCTTCCCACCTCCCAGCTGGGCTTCTCCTTCCTGCTGGGGCCCGGTTGCACTGCCTCATTCTCACCCAGGTTTCCTCCCCCTGCTGTGACCCAGACTAGGGTGTGGGGGCCTGGGGGCTGAGGTTCTTTCCCCAGCTTTGGGCAACTGCTGTGTGATCTTGGGGAAGATACTGCTGCTCTCTGGGCCTCAGTTTCCCCGTCTGGACAATGGGCTCTGAGCTGAGAGAGGGCATGCCCCCAGGAGGCTACTGGGAGCCGTTCCCACTGCTGGCCAGATCTGTGTGAGGCGGGTGCCCGTCCCTGGTGCCTCTAGCTCCGGGCAACCTGGGTTGTAGCTCTGAGTGGACTTCTTGGACCAGCAGGGAGATCACTTCATCCAACCCAGTCATCGTACAGAATAGGAGACTGGGGGCCAAGGGGCTGTAGGGCCTTGGCCAGTGCCACACAGTGCAGCCCAGGCCTCTCTCCTCCTCCTTCCCTCTGCTTTCATCTGTTCGTTTGTTCATTCAGTCCACACTTCTCTGAGCACTGACTCCGTCCCAGGCAGGCCCCGGGGATGCGGGAGTGAGTGGGCCGCCGTCCCTGCCCGGGGAGCTCAGAATCTGGTGTGGGAGCCAGCGTGGGAAACTTGGCTCGGCGGTGGCTCAGCCTGGGAAGTCTTTCTGGGGGAGACAGAGCTGTGATCTGAGGAAGGAGGACCGTGCATTGCTCTGCTGCAAAGCCAGATTCTGAATGATGGAGGATCACCCATTAGCCCCTTCCCCACCACTCACGTGCATGTCAACACACATGCACGCAGTGAATAGTAACAGTAATAATACCAGCTGCCCGTGTGATGGTTACCTCGCGCCAAGCACCATGCTCAGCATTTGTAGACAGTCTGTCGTTTATCCTCAGAGCACTTATGGGAGGTAGGGGATCTTGCCCCCATTGCATGGAGGGGACACTGAGGCTCGGAGTGGCCTAAGTGATGCGCCCGAGGCCATATGGAGCCCCAGACGCCACCCTAAGCTCACAGTCCAGTGGAGACATGGGGGCCGGAAAGACCCAGGGTCCGCTCTCGGCTCAGCCCCTTGTAGTTGCGCCTGCCTGGGCCTCAGTTCCCTTCCCTGTAGAATGGGGAGAGCGGGAACTGGAAAGCCTCCTCCCGTCGCCCCGCTCTGCCACCTGGGCCTCGGTTTCCCCGGCGCCTGCCCGCACTAAGCCGTCGTCCCCCCGCCCCCCCGCAGTGGGACCTGATGCAGAGCATCATGAACGACGTGCCCATCTACATGTACTCCGTGTGCAACGTGGTGTCTGGCGACCAGGACAACTGGCTGCGCACCAACTGGGTGTACCGCGGCGAGGCCGAGCGCATCTTCATCGAGCTCAATTTCACCGTGCGTGACTGCAACAGCTTCCCCGGGGGCGCCAGCTCCTGCAAGGAGACCTTCAACCTCTACTATGCGGAGTCAGACCTGGACTACGGCACCAACTTCCAGAAGCGCCAGTTCACCAAGATCGACACCATCGCGCCCGACGAGATCACCGGCAGCAGCGACTTCGAGGCGCGCCACGTGAAGATGAACGTGGAGGAGCGCTCGGTGGGGCCGCTTACCCGCAAGGGCTTCTACCTGGCCTTCCAGGACATCGGCGCCTGCGTGGCGCTGCTCTCTGTGCGCGTCTACTACAAGAAGTGCCCCGAGCTGCTACAGGGCCTGGCCCGCTTCCCCGAGACCATCGCCGGCTCCGATGCCCCCTCCCTGGCCACCGTGGCTGGCACCTGCGTGGATCACGCTGTGGTGCCGCCGGGGGGCGATGAGCCCCGCATGCACTGTGCGGCGGACGGCGAGTGGCTGGTGCCCATCGGGCAGTGCCTGTGCGAGGCGGGCTACCAGAAGGTGGAGGACACCTGCCAGGGTGAGTGATGGACGGTTCCGCGTGGTGGGAAGGGGCTCTGGGGCGAGAGGCTGAATTCCCGCGTTCCAGTCTCAGCTCTGGGGTGTGGGATCTTGGTACGTTCGTCCCTGCTGTGACGTGGCTCTGCCAGGGAAAGTTAAAAGGTCTTCCTGGATAACAGTTTTCTTAGACTGGATTCACTTATTCACTGAGAATGAATGAGTGAATTGAGAAGCGATATAGTATGGAGGTATGATCGAGGACCCTAGATCGAGAGTGTCTGTGTTCAAATCCCAACTCTGCATTTAGCTGTGTGACTTTAAGCCATTTCCTTAACCTCTCTGCACCTGGGGTTCCTCATCTGTAAAAATGGAGGTGATTGGCCAGGCTCAGTGGCTCAGTCTGTAATCGCAACACTTTGGGAGGCCAAAGTGAGTGGATTGCCTGAGCCTGCGGGTTTGAGACCAGCCCGGGCAACTTGATGAGACCTTGTCTCTACAATAAATCAAAAATTAACTGGGCATGATAGTGCACCAAGTAGTTCTGGCTACTTGGAAGGCTGAGGTGGAAGGATTGTCGGAGCCCAGCAGGTCGACGCTGGGGTGACCACTGCACTCCAGTCTGGGCAACAGAGTGAGACTCCAACTCAAAAAAAAAAAAAAAATGAATGTGATTATCGCATCCATCTCGTGAGGTGGCTGTGATCATCAAATGATTTAATACTTGTAGAATGCTTAGGTCAGTGCCTGACACATAAGTACTTTTAAATGTGCTGTTATTTTTGACTCATCCCACGAATATATTCCGAGTATCGTCTATGCATCAACACCGTGCTCACGGTGGTATAGTCCCAGGAGCTAGTTCCATTTCTGTTGTCAGCTCACTGTGTTGCCTTAGGCAGGTTGCTTAACCTCTCTGGGGCTCAGACTCCTTTTTTGTATATGAAGGTGCTTGAACTGAACCCAGAGTTCACACCTGGCTGCACATTAGAAACACCTGGGGAGCTTTGAAAAATGCTGAGATACTGAGAGAGGCTGGGCACAGTAACTCGTGCCTGTAATCCTAGCACTTTGGGAGGCCGAGGCGGGAGGATCTCTTGAGGCCAGGAGTTCAAGACCAGTCTGGGCGACATAGTGAGACTCCAAGTCTCTAAAAAAGAAAGAAAGAAAGAAAGAAAACTACTGATGGAGGGCTAGAGGGAGACACAGGGTCTGCCCTTCTCACCTGACCTTCCTCAGGGCCACAGACTCTTGCACTGATGACAAGCCGAGCCCAGGAAGGGCGCCTGGGCATGAGCAAGTTCACACTGAGGAGGCGAGGCTTGGTGTGGCCAGGGCCTGTGACAGCGGAAATCTCCACAGCAACGTGGATTTTCAGTGGCTGACTTTTTCTGGAAATGGCTGTGGGGCTGGGCATTTGTGGAATGCAGGCCGACCTTTGGAAGGCTAGCGCATCCGCTCTCTGGGAGCTTCTTTGCTGAGATAAGCGGGGTGTTGAGAAACTGGGGGTTTAGCCTCTGTGGTTGGATATACCCGCTGGGCGACCTTGGGTAGATCCCTCCTCTCCTCTGGCCTTGGGTTCTCTGTAAAATGAGAACATTCAACGACATCGGCAGACTTCATGCTTGGGCTCTAGCCATGCGTCCTGCAACCCATGGAGGGGGTTGAAGTGTGGCAGGACCCCGAAGCCCTTTCTGATGGGCCCCACATGCCTCCCCAAACAAATCCTCAGAAGCTTGCTTAGCATAGCTCAATCCCTGGATGAGAAGTTCCTTAAGAGCCTTTCTGGCCATTCGCCTGAGGTTTAGGCTCTGTTCCTGCCCTGGTCCCCACCACCCCCTTGTCCTTCCAGCTCTCCTCTGCTGAGTGAGCCCCCCTTCCCCAGGCGGCCCGCTCTAGGTGACCTCGAATGCACACTCCCGGTTTCAGACAATGACTGCAGGGTTAGGTGGGGGGGGGCGAGGCAGCCCAGTGGGGCGAGCAGGCTCCGCCCACATGACATCCTCGCACAAGAATGCGGGGGTGGGGGAGAGGGGCAGCTGAAAACTTTCCACAGGCTGGTGATTCAGGCCCTGCAGAGATAAGTGGACGGTTGGGGCTGGGGGGGTCTCTCCAGGAAGGGGGGCAGCCTCCCTGCTCTGGGGGTGGAGGGTCTGGGATGGGTAGGCTTTGTTTTGCAGAGAGCTGTGTAGCACCCTGCTGGGAAGATCAGCTCAGCCGGAGGACTGGTTTCCAAGAGGACCCTCTCTTCTCCCGGCCACCCATGCCCTGGCCACCTATGCCCTGACGTTTCCTCCCTGGGATCCCCCCACCAAAATCCCTTCCAGTGTGGCTGGGCGCTGGCGTGTGAGGTCCCGGGGACCCTCAGCCCGGCTACCCTTTATGCCTCCACACTTCTCCCAGCTGCCGCTGACCTTGATGCTGCTGGAGAAAGTGACAGTCACTAGTGACCGTCACTCCCCGAGACAAGTGCTTTCCGAGGCCAGGCGCAGAGCTAACAGGCGCTTGGTCCGGACACTCTCACTGATTCTGCCACTCCTTTCCGCTCGAGAGGGACTGTTATGGATCCCATTGAACAGATGAGGAAACTGAAGTTCAGAGAGGCGAAGAGGCTTGCCCGGAGCCACACAGCTAGGCTGCGACTGCATTAAGATTTGAATCCACCAGGTGGTGAAGCGGCGCCCAGGCTGCAGGACGGGTCAGGAAATGGGGCGGGAAGTGACCAGTTCCTCTGGAATCCCTGACTCAGCTCCTGGCCCTGGGGCGGGCGCTCTGGGCAGCCCTGGGATGGCAGGGCCTGGCACGAGGGGCTGGGGCTCCGTCAGAGGTAGGGGTGAAGGAGAGATCATTGCTGGGCACACTGAGGGAGAAGTGAGGGGAGGGTCCGGGTCTGCCCTCCCTGCGGGAGCCTCCCCGGCCTCCCCCAACTGGGGCTTCTGTAGGTGACAAACTGATCCCAGAGGGGGCAGGGCACCCTGAGGTCACCCAGCACCTTGTCTGGTTATCCCAAGGACTTGTCCGTTTCTCCTCACAGCCCTTTCCCCAGGAAGCCAGGGCTCAGGAAAGAGTTAAGTGGGCCGGGAGGGCGGTGCCTCCCAGGTGCTGTGTGGACAGGTGGGCACCCTGCCCGAGCTCCTGTGAGCTATGTCAGGAATGAGCCACTTCCCTCCAGCCCTCCCATCCCCAGCCCTGCCCAGAGGGGACAGTGGAGTCGCTCAGGCTGACCGTTGTCCCCCCACCCCCCCGGCTGCTTTGTGCGCTGCTTCCTGCGCTGGCATCGGCAGCTGAGCTGGCGGCCCTGGCTGGCGCCTCGGCCCGGGGACCGCTGGCCAGGTGAGCAGGTGGCCAGCGGCCTTGGCCAGTGGCTCAGCCCAGCAGCTGGGAGGCCAGAGCTGGAGGTGGGGGCAGTGGGGAGGGGGCCGGGGATTCCCTCCTGAGAGGCCCCCTCTCCCTCAGGGGCCCACCCCCTTGGGGATGTCCCCCAGCTCACAGGGACACCTCGCCGCAGGCACTGTGCTAAACGTTTCGTGAGCAGGGTTTCCTCCAAGTATTCACAAACAGCTAGAGAGGATGAGGGCTTCATCTCCATTCTGCAGATGAGGGAACTGAGGCCCAGAGAGGAAACAGTGACCAGTGACCCAAAGAACCGGGGCCTGGCACGACGAGGGCGGCACACTGTCTCCCCACCTGTAACAGAGCGGGTTGGCCCAGGGACTCGGAAGGACCCTGTTGACCTGGTGATGAGTCTCCCTCCTATGACTTTCTGCTGGGCTCCATCTGAGAACCTGGCAAGCCTGTGACTCCCAGGTGTGGCGAGGAGGGGCTCCCAACACTGGCAGCCCGAGTGGTTCAGGCTTGGCCCAGGGTCCATGGCCGAAGGGGAGATGTTCCCTGGGCAGGCGATGGCTCTGGTTCAGGTGGTCTTTGGGCAGAGTGGCCTTGGGCCGGATCCCCTCTTCCTGGGACATGCTGAAGGGGCCTCTGTGAGCTGTTGACTGTGACTCTCTGGCCTGTCCCCTCCCTGGGGAGTGCCATTGGGCCTTCTTTCTGTGGTGTTTCCTCTGGCCTGCAGAGGTGGGGACCGTGGTGGCTCTGACCTCTGCCCGTCTGTCTTGGCTCACACCAGGGGTAGATCTAGGTGCCGGAAGCTCCGCTGGGAAGGCCAGGCCCCCTCCCTCCCTCGCCGGAGGTGAGTGGGTCCCCTGAACGGAAGGAAGGAGACAGGGAAAGCAAACAGAAGATAAAAGGCTGCTGGGAGGGAGGCGGGAGGAGGGAGGCGGGACTACACTTATCGCCTGGCGGAGGAATGTGCGTGCAGATAATTCCCCAGGGTGTGTGAAAGGAGCGTGTGTGAAAGGAGCTGGGTCCTGGCAGGACAGAGGCGAAGCCACCGGGGCCTGAGGTTATCAGCTCCCCTCGTTTGCTGGGTCAGTGACTCACAGGTTGCCACCGCCCCGGAGGCAAAGTCCAGGCTCCCTGCCCTTGGACTGAGCTGCTGGGCCTGGCTTGGGGAGGTGACTGGCCCCAGGTGAATTGCCACCATGACCTCTTGATTGACCCCGTGACCTCGCAGCCACCAGCCTGAGAGGTGGGTGGGCCTGGGGAGGAGGGGTTCTGCCAGGGGCTGGACTTGCATCACGAAGAGGGCGTCTGTCCCTGAGTCACCTCCTGCCACCACCTGAGGGGTGGGAATCGGGAACTGGAAAAACCGGGGTGCAGCCCTGCGTGCAGCCACCGTGCCCCAGTTCCCCTGCTCGGAGTGGCCTGGGCCTGCCAGGCACTGGGGCCAGAACAGCTCTCCACAGGTGTGCTACAGGTGTGCCACCACCAGGCAGGTGGGCGTCTTGATGTGCCGTCACCCTGGGCACTGAAACACTGCTCGCTTCACATGCCTGGAATGTATGTTTAATGTGCACACGTTCACCTGCTCATCCATCTATCCATCCTTCTGTCCGTGGGTCTCTCTGTCCATCTGTTCATCCATCATCCATGCATCCATCCTTCCCTCCGTCCATCCGTCCATCCATGCATCCATCTGTCTGTACGTCCATCCATCCATCTGCTCCGCCATCATCCATCCATTTCCACCTGTTCATCTGTCCATCCGTTCATCTATTTGTCCGTCCATCCGTCCGTCCATCCGTCCATCCATCCAATAAACATGAGCCAAGCCCTTCCTTCCTGTGAGACCCTGTGCTGGGCTGTGGGTCTCCATCCCTCCTCCCCAGGAGCCGCCAGTCTCGTAGAGTCTCCTAATAATGTGCAGAAATAATTTCAAATGGAGAGTGCCAGCCAGGCTGTGAATTCCCTGAAGCTGAAACAGTGTTTATCTGTCTCACCATTGTATCCCAGCACCCAGCCTCGTGCCAGACATGTAGGAAGTGCTTGTTTCTATTTGGTAAACATAAGACTGAGTCATAGATGCTGCAGCGGGGCACAAGGGGGCCAGGAATTGGGCAGTCTGGGAGGGCTGTGTAGAGGAGCTTCCGCTGGGTATTGAAGGATGCATAGGAGTTTGCTGGTTGGCTATGGGACAGTGGGTATTTGGTGTATGTGGGTGTGTTGACCCCTCTCCCCGCTCACCTATGCAGAATGCCAGGAAATCCAACAGTTAAAGTCAGGAAGAGCACAGGGGCTTTTGGTGTCCTACTCATGAACTCTGGGACCCTTGAGCGCCTGCAAAGTCTGGCAGGGCCCTGGGGACAGCCCCCCGGAGTTGTGTGACTGGAGGAGGGGCAGCACATCTCATCAGGCAAGCACATGCCCTGTTGACGCTGCCTCTCTGCTGTATTATCTGGCACATCCGCCCCGGAAATCTCTCCAAATTCCCTCTTTCCTGGTGGCAGCAGGCAGGCCACCCCCGGGCGCTGGGGCCAGAGAACCCATCTCTTCCCCCACTTCCTCCTCCTGCCGTGGGGACTGAGGGGCTTGGGGGGTCTGCAGGGGGTTATAGCCTCCAGTGGACCCGAGCCGAGCGGTGGAGGGTGTGCAGACCCCCGCCGGCGTGAGAGCCCTGGCGGGGAAGGTGTGACTGTGGTTCTCAGGGCTGGACCTGCTGCCCTAAGCACCCCGGCTCTGCAGGGCCCGGACTGCCTGGAGCCTGCGCTTACCCAGCAGGGAGGTCTCTGGGCGGACAGGTGAGGGCATTTGGGGGGATTGAAACCCCGGGATAAAATGGGGTCTCATTTGGACTGGGAGATTTGGGGGAGGCAGAACTATTTTTATATCCTAGCAGCAATGTCACGGGGCGGAATGCAAAGGAACATGGCTCTTAAATACTGTCGGAGACGTGGAAGACTTAGGGCTGGAAGGAGGTTACGTTAGTCTCCCTGGCCAGCCCCTCTGGGCTGGATTCTAGGCTTTCCTTCCCATAGACACAAACGTGCCCTGAGAAGGTCTGTGTTGGGGGTTGCCACACAAACACCCAGCTGCTCTGGAATTAGCCTTGGGATTTCCTGGCCGTGGCAGCGGGTCAGGACTGTCGCTTCTCTCTTCAGGCTGTTTGTAGAACTTCGGTTTCTCCCTGCTCCAAATGGAGCTGTTTCTTTTTTCTTTTTTTTTTTTGAGTTGGATTCTCACTCGGTCGCCCAGACTGGAGGGCCGTGGCCGC